GGTCTCGAACGCATCGTTTTCGAGGACAAGTCTCGCCTCGTCGACATCCCACCCGCTGAGCGTTACCTCAAGCTGAAGGATGTCTTGTGGAAGAAGGTTTTCTTCAAGACTTACTACGAGCGTCGTTCATGGTTCCACATGGTGATCAACTTCAACCGTATTTGGGTCATTCACTTGACTTCTTTCTGGTTCTACACGGCATACAACTCGCAGCCTCTTTACACCAAGAATTACCAGCAACAGCTAGACCAGAAGCCCGAAAAGGCTGCTACTCTTTCTGCTGTCGCTCTTGGTGGTACCATCGCGGCCTTCATCCAGATCTTCGCCACCATCTGTGAATGGTGCTACGTCCCTCGCCGATGGGCTGGTGCTCAGCACTTGACCAAGCGCCTCTTGTTCCTGATTGCGGTTTTCGTCGTCAACATTGCTCCAAGTGTCTACATCTTTGGTCTGGACAAGCGCACTGGTACCATCGCCAACGTACTTGGTGGTGTTCAGTTCGCCATTGCCTTGGTCACCTTCATCTTCTTCTCCCTCATGCCCATCGGCGGCCTGTTCGGTAGCTACTTGACACGCAACTCTCGCAAGTATGTCGCCAGTCAGACGTTCACCGCCAGCTACCCTCGTCTCAACGGAAACGACAAGTGGATGTCATACGGCCTGTGGGTCTTGGTCTTTGCTGCCAAGCTCGCTGAGTCCTACTTCTTCTTGACTCTGTCGATCAAGGACCCAATTCGTATTCTTTCTCACATGAAGAAGCCTGACTGTCTGGGAGATGCTATCATCGGCAACATTCTTTGCAAGTACCAGCCCAGAATCCTGCTCGGTCTCATGTACTTCATGGACTTGATCTTGTTCTTCTTGGATTCCTACCTCTGGTACATCATTGCAAACATGTTGTTCTCGGTCTCTCGATCGTTCTACCTCGGTGTTTCCATCTGGACGCCATGGAGGAACATCTTCTCCCGTTTGCCCAAGCGTATCTACTCGAAGGTTCTTGCCACTACCGATATGGAGATCAAGTACAAGCCCAAGGTTCTCATCTCGCAAATCTGGAATGCCGTGGTCATCTCTATGTACCGTGAGCATCTCCTTGCGATCGACCACGTTCAGAAGCTCCTCTATCACCAGGTTCCCTCTGAGCAGGAGGGCAAGCGCACCCTGCGCGCTCCTACCTTCTTTGTGTCCCAGGAAGATCACTCCTTCAAGACCGAGTTCTTCCCTGCTCAGAGCGAGGCCGAGCGTCGTATCTCTTTCTTCGCTCAGTCCTTGTCAACTCCCATCCCTGAGCCTCTCCCCGTGGACAACATGCCGACATTCACTGTCTTGATTCCTCACTACGGTGAAAAGATCCTTTTGTCACTCCGTGAAATTATTCGCGAGGATGAGCCATACTCCCGTGTCACTCTCCTTGAGTACCTCAAACAGCTGCATCCTCATGAGTGGGACTGCTTCGTCAAGGACACCAAGATTCTCGCCGATGAGACATCTCAATTCAACGGTGACGACGAGAAGGGCGAGAAGGATACCGCTAAGAGCAAGATTGACGATCTTCCTTTCTACTGCATTGGTTTCAAGTCGGCCGCTCCTGAGTACACCCTTCGCACTCGTATCTGGGCTTCCCTCCGCTCGCAAACACTTTACCGTACCATCTCTGGTTTCATGAACTACAGTCGTGCCATCAAGCTTCTCTACCGTGTCGAGAACCCTGAGGTCGTCCAGATGTTCGGTGGCAACTCTGACAAGCTCGAGCGTGAACTTGAGCGCATGGCTAGGCGCAAGTACAAGATCTGCGTGTCTATGCAGCGTTACGCCAAGTTCAACACCGAGGAGCGTGAGAACACTGAGTTCCTTCTCCGTGCGTACCCCGACCTCCAAATTGCCTACCTGGACGAAGAGCCTCCGGAGAACGAGGGCGAGGAGCCCCGCATCTACTCTGCTCTTATCGACGGTCACTCTGAGATCATGGACAACGGCATGCGTCGTCCCAAGTTCCGCATTCAACTCTCTGGTAACCCCATTCTTGGTGACGGAAAGTCCGACAACCAGAACCACTCCATCATCTTCTACCGTGGAGAATACATCCAGCTTATCGACGCCAACCAGGACAACTACCTCGAGGAGTGCCTCAAGATTCGCAGCGTTCTCGCTGAGTTCGAAGAGATGACCACTGATAACGTCTCCCCATACACCCCTGGCCTTCCTAGCACCAAGTTCAACCCTGTCGCCATTCTCGGAGCCCGTGAATACATTTTCTCCGAGAACATTGGTATCCTTGGTGACATCGCTGCCGGAAAGGAACAGACATTCGGTACTATGTTCGCTCGTACATTGGCTCAGATTGGTGGCAAGCTCCATTACGGTCATCCCGATTTCCTCAACGGTATCTTCATGACTACTCGTGGTGGAGTGTCCAAGGCTCAAAAGGGTCTTCATCTCAACGAGGATATTTACGCTGGTATGAACGCTCTCCTTCGTGGTGGTCGCATAAAGCATTGCGAATACTACCAGTGTGGTAAGGGTCGTGATTTGGGTTTCGGTTCCGTTCTCAACTTCACCACCAAGATTGGTACTGGTATGGGAGAGCAGATGTTGTCTCGCGAGTACTACTACATGGGTACTCAACTTCCTCTCGACCGCTTCCTGTCCTTCTACTACGCCCATCCTGGTTTCCACATCAACAACATGTTCATTATGTTGTCGGTCCAGTGCTTCATGTTCGTCCTCCTCAATCTCGGAGCGCTCAACCACGAGACCATTCTCTGCCAGTTCAACAAGGATATCCCCATCACCGATCCTCAATGGCCCAACGGCTGTGCCAACTTGGTTCCCGTGTTCGACTGGGTCTCGCGTTGTATCGTCTCCATCTTCATCGTCTTCTTCATCTCTTTCGTGCCGCTCGTGGTTCAAGAGTTGACTGAGCGAGGATTTTGGCGTGCCGCGACTCGTCTCGCCAAGCACTTCTCCTCTGGATCGCCCTTCTTCGAAGTTTTTGTCACCCAGATCTACTCCAACGCTCTCCACACCAACTTGTCATATGGTGGTGCTCGTTACATCGGTACCGGCCGTGGTTTCGCAACTGCTCGCATTCCCTTCGGTATCCTGTTCTCGCGATTCGCTGGTCCTTCGATCTACATTGGTGCCCGCTCCTTGATGATGTTGCTGTTCGCCACCATTACTGTCTGGGGACCATGGCTCATCTACTTCTGGGCGTCCCTGATGTCCTTGTGCCTGGCACCGTTCCTTTTCAACCCCCACCAGTTCTCATGGGACGACTTCTTCATCGACTACAGGGAGTACCTTCGCTGGTTGTCTCGTGGCAACACTAGGTCCCACAGTGCCTCCTGGATTGGTTACTGCCGTCTTTCTCGCACACGTATCACTGGTTTCAAGCGCAAGATTCTCGGCGACCCATCAGCTAAACTCTCAGGCGATGTCCCTCGTGCTCACTTCACCAACATCTTCATGAGTGAGATCCTTGGACCTCTCGTTTTGGTCGCAATCACTCTCATCCCCTTCTTGTTCATCAACGCCCAGACCGGTGTCAACGACAACCGTCACAAAGACGACGACACCGCCACTGGTGACCCCAAGAAGTCCGGTGCCCTCGTCCGTATCGCAATTATTGCCTTCGGTCCTGTCGCTATCAATGCAGGTGTCTTGGGAGGCATGTTTGCTTTGGCTTGTTGTGCGGGTCCCTTGCTCAGCATGTGCTGCAAGAAGTTCGGAGCTGTCTTGGCTGCCATTGCTCACGCTATCGCTGTCCTTGTCCTCCTTATCTTCTTCGTTGTGCTCATGTTCCTCGAGGGCTTCAGCTTCCCCAGAGCTTTGTCTGGTATGATCGCTGTTGTCGCTATCCAGCGATTCGTGTTCAAGCTTATCATCACTCTTGCTCTCACTCGTGAGTTCAAGGCTGACACTGCCAACATTGCCTGGTGGACAGGAAAGTGGTACACCATGGGATGGCACACGATCTCTCAACCTGGTCGTGAGTTCCTCTGCAAGATCACCGAGTTGGGCTTCTTCGCCGCAGACTTTATCCTTGGTCACGTCCTTCTTTTCTTCATGCTTCCGATCTTGTTGATTCCCTACGCCGACAAGGGCCACTCCATGATGTTGTTCTGGCTCCGTCCCAGGTATGTTCCACTCCCACTCTGTTTGATGAACCACTACTAACGTTTAACAGTCGCCAGATCCGTCCTCCCATCTACTCGCTCAAGCAGACCAAGCTTCGCAAGCGTCGTGTCGTGCGCTACGCCATCCTCTACTTTGTCCTGCTCGTCGTCTTCCTGGCTTTAATCGTGGGTCCGATCGTCGCCGGAAAGTACATCAAGCTCTCCGTGACATTGCCAATGGAGATCTTGCAGCCTACAGGCTTCAGCAACAACGACACTACCAACACTCCTACTGGCAAGTGTGTTGATGAACGTCCTTGCCCTGTGTGGAACCCCGCTGTGGACGCAACTGGAGGTGGTGGTGCCGCCGCTTCGACCGACGATGCCGCTCGTCGATTCCGCCGGTACATGGCATACTAAAAGCAAACGTTGCGAATCGTTTTGTTCTGCTTTCGCAGCCTGTATTGTACAACCTTGGCGAATCATGAGCGTGGCGACTTGGTTGGTCCCATAATGATTGTAATATCCACTACAGCATTTCCTTCGTTTTCTGGCGTTACACAGCAGGCTATCGACCTGCTTTCTCTCTTTTTGAACACCGATGTCCGCCTAAGGCGCGGACTTGCCTGCACATATACTACGAAGGGTTGTTTTGGTTCATCACGGGAAGGCGAATATCTTAGAAAGTGAATGCATTGCAGATAAATACATGGATGTCTTAAACTCAAGTCTCTCCTGCGCCTTTTAATATTGTCTTTGATACGTGTGGTCTGAAGTGATATTCTTGCCCTTTTGAGAAACCTACTCGTGAAACCCCGAAACGGAGGTCCTTGCGAGATGAGCCATTAGGCGTTGAAGTTGCCCAGGGTTCACCTCCGCCCTTTCGCCGCAGCCCCTACACCAACAACCACGCAACAAATAGCCATCATGGATCTCAATGAAATACAGAATGTTACTACGCGCTTCTTCACCGATGCCAATGCGCAATTCAATCGCATACCAGGGTCCGCTATCGCCGTCCGCTACATCAAGTCGAGTTACCAGAACGACCCCGTTCGCAGCGCAATAGAGTTATTCTTGTTCCTCTTTGCGGTGCGCTACTTGCTCGCACCCAAATACAGCACCCAGAAGAAAGTGCAGCTCACCGATGCCGTATGCTCCGCGCCTTGGATACAGATGCGCGGATGTGGCGGGCTGACAAGCAAATAGGAGATTGATGAACTGGTCGAAGACTGGACCCCAGAACCGCTTGTTGCACCGACTACTGCGCTCGAGGAGTTGGACAACGAGAAGCGGCCCATCATTGTTGGGTATGACAGCCTACAGCCCCAATGGCCTCTTATGGTCGCGAATCAATGCTAACCAAGTACCGCGCAGCCCTACCGGTCCCAAGTCGAAGCTCTCCAACGGCCGAACCGTAACGAATCTTGCCTCATACAACTTCTACAACTTCCTTTCCAACGATGTCCTAAAAGACAAGGCCATTCAGACCCTGCGGACTTACGGCGTTGGCCCCTGTGGCCCCCCCGGCTTCTATGGTACACAGGACGTCCACATGAAGACCGAAGCCGATGTCGCTGCACATCTCGGTGTCCCTGCCTGCATCATTTACGCACAATCCTTCTCGACTATAAGCAGTGTTATTCCCAGTTTCAGCAAGAGAGGAGACATCATCGTGGCAGACCGCGCGCTCAACTTTGCTGCAAGGAAGGGCATTCAAATCAGCCGCAGTACCGTCAGGTGGTTTGAACACAATGACATGGAGGATCTGGAAAACGTACTCAAGAAGGTTGTCAAAGAGCAGGCCAAGAAGCCGCTCACCAGACGCTTCATCATTACTGAGGGCCTATTTGAGAACATTGGGGATGTGGTGAACCTGCCCAAGATTGTACGTCCATCACATACTCATGCTTCAGAGGCACCTGGATGGGTTAGCTAACATATTGAAAAGGTCGAACTCAAGCTCAAATACAAATTCCGACTGATCCTCGACGAAACCTGGTCCTACGGCGTCCTCGGCCGCACCGGCGGCGGTGTCACCGAAGCGCAAAATGTCGATGCTGCAGAAGTAGATATGATTATCGGTTCGCTATCCGGCCCTCTCTGTGCGGCAGGAGGTTTCTGCGCTGGCAATGAGGAAGTCGTTGAGCATCAGCGTATTTCCTCGGCGTCTTATACCTACTCGGCTGCCCTCCCTGCTTTGCTGAGTACAACTGCCAGTGAGACTATCAGCTTATTGCAACAACAACCGGATATTTTGGCAGGACTCAGGGAGAATGTGAAAGCCATGAGGGGGCAGTTGGACCCCAGGAGCGACTGGGTCCGATGTAGTAGTTCGGGTGACAACCCGATCATGCTACTTGTTCTGAAAGACGAAGTCATTGACAACAAGAAGTTGAGTATCGAAGACCAAAATCAGATATTTAGGGAAGTTGTCGATGAGGTACGTATCCTAATGGTGTATGTAAGGTTGATCTTGGACAATGTGCTGACAGTCACAGTGTCTCGCGAACGGCGTTCTCATAACACGACTCAAGTCTTTCCCTCTTGGTCTTGGACTAAACCCCCGAGACGCAGGCTGGCAACCTACGCCTGCACTCAAAGTATGTGTGACCAGCGGCCTGACAAAGAAGGAGACAGAGAAGGCTGGCACCATCATAAGGCATGCCATCACCAAGATGGTGAGCAGGCGGAAGTAGAGTCTCAACCATTGGCCATCATCACGACGAGGGCGGTGTATTAGACTTCGAGCATTCCATGATGACCAGTGTTGATGCATGATATACTTCTTGTAAAATTTTGTTGCTATATAGACATACTCGTAATGCATAATATCTGAACTGCTGCAACTCCATCGGTATATATCCTAAAGCAACTGCACGGTGTGCTGCCGACAAGCACGACACTCTTTCGAGGCTACGAACAAGTCCGACTAGACGCGCAACTCGCTCAACCTGATAGACGAGCGAAGCCTACATTGCCGGGCATGACTGCCGATATCAAATAGCCAACATTGAAATTGTCGCCCATGGCAAATCACGGGGCTGAGGCGGGCTGTGCAGAGCAACGCGGAAGTTTGCGTAGGACGAAAATGACGTTGGTCTCCCAAGCCTGGATCTAATGGCGCAGGGCACGTCACTGCCCGCCTGCTCACACCAACAACAAGCTTTCTCCATGCAACAACCCTACCTAGACCCTTAACTTTCCCGCACTTCCCTCTTTTCCCAAATTCCACCTCGCGCAATTAAACCTCGTTTGAGCGAGCAGAAGCGCCTACTACACCACACAAACACAATATGTCGCAACGACGGAACGGCGGAGAGCCGCAGCCCAAGGACGGGATGCCGCCAGCAAAGGGTGAGGGTATGTTGACGCAAAATAGCATCGTCGCATGGGTTCAAGGAAAGACTAACGGGAACAACAGCGCAGGACAAACAGGCGAGGCTCTTGTCCCAGGAAGCTGGACATTTCTCTCTCGTGAGGGCCCTGCATCTGGCTGATTTCATTACTGAGCTCAATGGTACGTTTTCCGACGCCGACCTCTCCTGGCCAACATAACACTCGGCTGTTCAGCCGAAGAATCAAGGCATGCGCTGAGACGATAAATTTCAGGCTTCTGCGGCGTCATGTCCATCTTTTCCTCTCTCCGCTACTGCACGCAGTCGGACCCCTTCAACTACACCAACTTGTACTTCGCCCTCGGCTTCATCCCCCTCGGACTCTTCTTCGACTTCATGGACGGCAAAGTCGCTCGCTGGCGCAAGAAGGCATCGCTCATGGGCCAGGAACTTGATTCCTTGGCTGACCTCGTCTCATTTGGCGTTAGCCCCGCCGCCGCTGCCTTCTGTCTCGGTCTGCGAACACCTGTCGACCATCTACTCCTGAGCTTTTTCGTGCTCTGCGGTCTTACACGTTTGGCGAGATTCAATGTCACGGTTGCTATGGTGCCAAAGGATGCGACAGGCAAGAGCAAGTACTTTGAGGGCACCCCCATCCCCATGTCTCTGGGCATTGTCCAAGTCATGGCGTACTGGGTGTACAAGGGCTGGACGTTGGAACAGGTTCCCATGGGCCTTTGGCTCGAGGGCACGGCATTTGAGTTCCACCCTGTTGTAGCCATGTTCATACTTCACGGATGTTTGATGGTCAGCAAGAGTGTCAAGATTCCCAAGCCCTAGACCATAGCGTTGAAGAGGAACGCGACCCAGTGTGTTGTGTACGTGGGTCTTCGCGTTCGGACAATGGGGGCAATCGAATTTGGTCGTGGTGAGAGGGAGAGAGGAAAGATCAGGTTGCATAACGATGCTGTGATCGATTAGCGGGCGTACAAAATACGATGATACCCTATTATCAATGAAACAATGGTAGAAAGCGCAGAAGACAGATACGTGTGAAGCCCTTCAGAATGATTATCCTATTACGACAAACCCATTGTTTCAAGAACCCTATTGAAATTGCTACTGTTACAAAGAAAGTCAAGCTCAATGACTGTGGTATCATGATTGTAAATCTGCGAATCAAGTTTGTTCGCCCAAAGCAGCTAGAGGTGTGCAAACATGCCAAAGGGGATGCTCCGCTCCCAGTAATCAAGTCAGCTTGTCCAGAAACTTCATTCAGGACAATAGTGACGCAGCATGTAGTGTCTGGTGGTAGCTACTCGACGGCCGAACTGTCTGTTCTGATGTAGGTAACATAATGGCCGCAAACAGAACCAGGCAAGATATGAAAAGTTACACTAGCGCAATCACCGCGTGATAATCAGCGAAAACCCGTCGAGCCATTGTGCGCAAGAACCGGATAGACCACCGATGGTGTAGCCACGGGGAGGGATAAGCGTATGCCTGCATATAGTTAGCTGGCAATTGTTATGAGTATGATCCATACGTACCCGCTGCCGCCATTCGGGTTTCCATACCACTCGCTCTTCCGTCCCAAGCTTGTTAGTATCTGTAGACCGTCGATCCATAGTCCGGCACGCAGAGAAAAGCCCAGCAACAGCTCTCCTTTTCGCGTATCTAGTGCAAACTCAGACATACTGCCTCCTCGCTTGCCGAAGAGTTGGGTGTCCGTATCTTCGTACACAAACTCCAATCCATCCATGGCGGAACCATGGTACACTTTGATGCTAAGTAAAAGCTTGGTCTGAATGTGGACGTAATCGAAAATCACTTCCTGCGGCTGTGAACCCTCCATTTGTGAGTAACCTAGTTTGCCCCCACGGTAGCCCCATCGGCCGTCCGGTATCTTGATGCGTGCATTCTTCTGGTTTGAGAGCTGACTGAAATCTTCAACAACGTGCTTGCCTCCACCAGCGGAGTACACCTCGAGCTTGAGGCGTGACTTTTGTTTTTCTTTCGGTAGCAAGGCACGCAGGGTGCTTTCTTCCAGTGTAACCTGTCGTGGGTATTGGTTGTCTTGTTCAGGAAACTCTTTCCAGTAATGACAGACATCGTCTCCTTCTGTGTACAGCTCAGCCCAAGCGATGCCCGATTTCGAGGTCGCGATGACGCCACCTTGGCCAACGTCAACCGTCCACACTTGCACACTGCCATCTCCGTTGATATTTGGGTTGTCGATAGGTATGCGGAAGCAAGGATGGAATCGGAAACGTAGTACGTCTAATTTGTGCCATCTGCATTCATCGTTTGGCAAGACTAGCCGCTGACCAGGTGACTTGGTGCGTGTTGAGTAGGGCTCTCGACATGTGAAGGTGCGGTTTAACGTAACGTAGTCACGTAACATGACACCCGACTCCTGATGAGGACAACCGAAGAGATGCCCCGTCTCGTGGAGATGGGCACCAATTCCTATGTTAGCAGCTTCCCAGTTGCTTCCAGATTCGTTGCAGTCATTCGCGACGAATGCAGTGTCGGTTTTGGTGCAGTCCTGGAAAGCCTGGAAAACCTCTTCAATGCTCGATGGGTAGCTGTGAAGCGCGTGGGAACCGAAAATGGCCAGTTGTAGATCTCCAGTTCCTCCACCTAAAGCCGCATGTCCTCGAACTGTCTTCTCTTGCGTGTCCCAATGCGTGTCAAGAAACAGGCAGGAGACGTAATGCTTTTGGCCTGGTACCATGGGGAAGTAATCTCTGCATGCCTCGATGGCAATGTCGAAAAGTTCATTTTTCTTCGTCCCCGGACCGTACTGCTGGGCGCGTTGCAGATCGCGTATCTCTGCGACAGATTTTCTGGAGCGGATGACGTGAATCTTTGCCTGCGTGCGGTATTGATTCTGTTCCCAATCTTGATAACTTAGCGTTCCAGGCTCCCAGGCGTCTTCGAAACGGAAACAGCGTCGACCGAATCCATAACGCTTCATCTGCTCGCCAGTGAAGGCCTGCCAAAGGTATGCAGCCATGCGGAATTTCTTGGTCGCAAGGTCAAGGTTGTTTCCCTCTCGCTGGATACGCTCAGGTGGGGCGTCATATGTACCTGGGGAGTCATGACCCAATATGATTGCAAGTTGTAAGGGCGGCGAATGCGACAAAGGGAGGTAGTTTATGTTGATGAAGGAGGCATGAGCAGGTACGGAGGTGTTTGGCGTAGAGACCTTGGGCGAGGCAAAGTCAAGTCGGATCCTGTTCCAGCCAGGCTCAAGATGCACCAAGGCCTTGAAGTGGGAATCGTGTACTGGCCAGCAAGTAGATGGGAAGCGGCCCTGATGGTGATTAACCGTGAGTGTGCCGTCCAACGGTTTGCTCTGTGTCTCCCCAACCTGACCAAATATCAGCAGTACCTGTTGGTGTACCCATGAGTTATCCGAGACAGACAAGACGCGCGGCGCGAGTAGCGAAGATCTATTGAACGAGCTGTTGGAGCCGTTCGAGGTTGGCGATGCTAAGCCATTGATGCTGTAGCGTTTTACGGGGTCGACAGTCGGTCGCTGAGGTCGCGCAGGCGCAGGCGTGGGGCCATTGGTAAGGTCTTTGGTTTGGGTGTTGATTTCGTCTGTGGTAGAGGTGGCTGGGGTGGTAGAAGGCGTCGACGAGCCGACTTGGGACGAGTCTAGAGTAGAGGCGGAAACACGGCGGTTTATACCATTGGCATTCTGACCCTCTGCACTGGTTGTTGGCCGGTCGCCGCTCTTGGACATGCGGCTGCTCTTTCTACCAAGGTTTCTGAGGAAAGACGGCATCGTGACAACTACAGCGCTGATGTAGGCCAGAAGTAGCGTCTCGAGGTCCTCGGGCTAGTCTGAAAAGCTTGACGAATTAAGGAATCATAGGCGTAGGTAATGAGCGACGGTAACGAGCGATACGGAGGGCGCGATGGGGGAGCTATGGGGAGCTGGGGGGACGCGTAATACGGGCGTGATAGTCACTGTAGAGTGGGAACAAGCGAACGGGAGGCTTTACTGGCAATAGCTATGCTACTATGCATGCGGGAAGCGAGTGAAGGCAGAATATGCAGTATGGCGGGAGAGAGCAAAGAAAGTTTGTGTTTGAGAAAGTGGCAGCAATGTCTACGTGGAGAGGACGCCGACGTGAAGAGCTACCTCTGGCGACGCAAGCTAGCAGGACCGAACAGGCAGCTCTGGTGGTCGCGCTAGAGGCTTCCAAAAGGGTCAATTGGCAAGAATTGGGCGTTGGTTACTCGCAACTGCGGAAGATGGACAGAATGGTGGGTTGCACCGAGACGAGCGCATGGTGAGGAGGTTCGCGACTCAACAAATGACGTTGCCAAAGCTTTTAGCTGCTTTGGGATGGCATGCCATGCCATGCACTGTCAGTTGTATCGTGGGCGTGAAACATCCATGGCAGGACACGGCGAGCTGTACGCAATGGACATAGACGAGTAATGCACGTGAGCTGCGAGGGCATTACCGATTCTGCACGTCGTCATGCGCGCATTCATCTGGTGTAGCTTCAGAATCCGCGGATTTGCGCCCGTTCCCCGACGACGGCCTGCAGCGATAAGGCGGGCCTGAAACATTCCAAAGGTCGATACGTTACCGATAGCATACCATATCTTACGCTCGAAGAGCCTTAGTCAGCGACTTTACCGCAGCCACCAGACGCACCCCCCTGCCGCTCGCCAAACCCTCAGCAGCATAGGTTTTCTTTGTTGCAGGCGCACTTGGACAAGGCTCCAGCGCCGGATAGGAGCCCGCCATGGGGTCACTAGGGCTTTCGTGCCGCTTGCGACTCCTAGCATCTTGACTTCATCATCACTCCCACAACGCCCTGACAAGCACGGGGCCTGTGCTGCCGCAGACTTTGAAGCTAGTCCCCTTGCATCGCCAGCTCCTCACATTCCTTGCCGACCGTCACCTCAGCTCCGCCCACATGCTGTTTCGTCTGTAGCAACTCTAGTGAGACGTCCACAGGGCCATATCATCTGCCTGGCTCCCCCTACACGCCCCCTCCAGCAATTGCTACACCATGGCCGAACAGGATGAAGTTGCGAGCAAGGTCCTGCGAAGGGCACAGGTCTCAAAGGTCCATCTCCCTATGTACAACCCCTCGCCCTTGTTTGCTGACACTGTGCTCTTCAGATGACTCGGACGCTGCAGAACCGCCTCGCTCTGGCCAACGTCAAGATGAAGAACGGCTGGGAGAGTCTCAGCCTGGATGCCATTGAGCCTGTCCTCGACGGTGTCGAGCGCAAGCGCAAGCGCCCCGGCTCCAGCAACGAAGCCATGTCGGACGTATCCAGCGTCTCCGAGCGCTTCTACCAGCCCAGCATCCTCGACTCCTCCCCCCTCCAAGCGCCCATATTCTCAGACGACGTCCGCCGCTCAGTCAGTCGGTCCGTCAGCACCGGCAGCTACATCCACAACAAGCGACCTCGTCACGACCGAACAAAGTACCCAGCATCGAGCAACCACGCCCGTGTCAAAGTAAGGACTGCCACCAGTGCTGCCACCTCGTGGAAGAACAACTTCCACTTGCCCGAGTCCTCGCCTGTATGCCATCGCAGACATGCCCGTTTTGGCCGTCAGCATGTTCCGAGCCTGTCCTTTGTCTCTGAAACCTCGACCGTTCCCGATCCGCATTCACCCCTACTGTCCGAAGACGACGACGAAGACCTACCCATTACATCTTTCTCCCTGAACAGATCGCATTTCCAACCATCCTTCCAGTCATCACCGCCCAAAACCCCACGCACACCGCCCCCAGATGTTGCACGTTCAGCACGTCTTCGACAACGGGGGTTCAATGCTGCCGGCGCAGCTCGGGAAGGCAAACATGGGGACAACGACGCAAACCTCTTGATGTATCTCGCAACATCACCCACACCGGTTCGACCTGGTCACCAGAAGCCACAAATGCTTGCCCCATCAACTCCACCGCCCAAAGCCACACCCCTTCCCTCGTCGATGATGTCCACGCCTGGTGGTGGTGGCTCTCATTATACAGGCTTCGGTCTTGCGACACCGTCAACGAACCTCAACTTTGCAGAGTTCCTCAACATGTCCCCGAGCCCTGCGCAGGTCAATGCATCGTCGTGGAACCGCACACCTGTCGCCACCAGAACACCTGCTGCTGTCCGCGAAGCACGGCGTCATCTCAACTTCGACAATATTGCTCCATCTGGTGATGCTTCACACATGACTGGCCACATGGGAAAAGTAGATAGCTTCGGCATGGACCTCGGCGGTGAACTCATCTCGTAAAGTTCATCTCATCTACCATACACAACAACCCAGCAAGCGTTTGGGCACGACGCAACGACACTCTGGCGACATTGAGCACGTTCAGTGCATCGCACAACTACCATTCCATGCATTGCTGCTATTGAGCGGCTTCTCTTATTCTCATCTGGATTCTTTTAAGCATGGCGTTCACGGAGGCTTGGCCTCTTTCTGGATTATGGAAGGCATTATCGACACAACCCATGCATCACTGCACACGTCTTCTACGTTATCTTTCGCATGCATCCGCCAAGTATTCCCCGGCGATAAAATCGAGCTGGCTACAACGCAAGCGCTTTGTACCACCTATTGACATATATCCCGTTTGCACACTTCTTTAGCAACTGTATTCTAAGCTATTTTCCGTTTCATTTGTTTGCTATCAGCACATCACAGCATAGTGCAGCAGCATTACATTATGCGATTTCGGTAGATTGGGACCGAAGGACTAGCCAGGCACACACTATGCACCTGTATTGCGGGGTGCGGTCATATAGGCGAATAATAAAACGCACTAAATGATAAATGCCGTATACGCCTGTTTTTCGGTTCTGCTAATGTGTCTAGCATGCGTTGCGCTGTGCGCGGCAACAAACCACCGCGATGCCACACCCTTATGCACACCACGTTTCCGGCCACTATACTATACATCCTATCGATACGCGACAAATGCGAACATGATCAACGAGGTGTGGAAGGATGGCGTAAACTGGACATCGCTTGGGCAACCTTAATCAGCGTTAGCCCACCAAGGTTACCATGATCACCACGCCATCATGATACCACGCCATGAGGGTATTAACTGCATATGCCCTACATACATGACACAGAGCAATTCCAGCACCCTCGAGCCACTTAAGCCCAGATAAGAGTCATAACATTCTACAAGGAGCAGCCAGCCACAACCCTCCTCCTCCTAACCTCCGAATATCCTCTCAACCAATGAGCGATGACAAAACCAACGCGCTCTATGGGTTGCCGACGCGTTTCGTGCCAACTTCGTGTCCCCTTTAAAATACTGTGATTGGCTAGTGGGATGAAAACGCAAGGCTCGCCCCTGGTCGCCAAGGGTAACGATTAAGACCTGATATGGAAGTATAGCTGGTATTGAAACGTGATGATGTAAGAAAGGCTGGAAACTGCATGGCTGGTGTGGATTAATGACGAGATGATCGCCGATTTAGTGGTTGTCAGGCGGTGGCTGGTGTTTAGTGCATGGATCACGGCATGGGCTCTGGTTTGGACGTCGTCGGCTAGGTGATGGGACGGAACGGTGCGGTGAAGCATCATTGTCAACACAATATTTGAAGCCAAAAAGAAAAGGACGCAGTACCGCTTTCGCAAGTTTTACAATGCTGTAGGGCAGAAGATCCTCATGTCTTCTTTTTCCGGCCATTTCCTTCTTTGTTCTTTGCCCGTAGTGTTAGCCTGATGTCCAGCGTGACCCGCGGCTCCATCTCCGGGTAGGATAAGCCCCGGGAATACTATCATTGAGAATGGGGTTCTATCAAACCTGCTTTCGGTGGTACATATTCGTGTTCGTGTTTGCCCTAGCTGTAAGAAAACTAGGCTTGGTGCTTATAGCAGTACGTACTCTTGAATTCCGCGGGGAGGGAGAGGAAATGGTGGAGCTGGGAATCCGACGCAGGGAATATGAAATGCAGGTGAAGTTGCGGTACCGGTCACTGTTATAGCAGAGTTTCCATGTTGGATGCTCCCGGTGCCCGAAAGGTTCCAATCCTTGTGGGAAAGAAGGGTTACGTGCCCAGCGGCTAAGTAGTGATATATATACATACCCTTGTCCCTAGGTAGGTAGTCTCATGGCATGTTGGCACGTTGAAGATGTGATCAAAGTCTTCAAGTTTGAGTAGTTACTATTTAAGGTGCTATTTTGCTTCTATACATCATACTGCTGCGACGATTAAATAGTCCGTCGCTCCGATCACATATCGTTTCTTCCTTCCATCCTTCCATCCATTGCATGCATTCCTTCGGTATCTCGTAATGAAGAAAGAAAGAAAAACAGTGGTATAACGCCGCCGCTACTACTAGAACACCCTCAATAGTGCTCCATCATATACACATGGCCCATCAATTTAGGCAGTAAAGAAACTAATATCAAAGACAAAAAGTAGACGGACCAGAGTCCTGAGAAGTGAAGTAGATTGGCAGATCCGAGCCGCCAGATCATCGAGCATATTGGTTCGAGTTGACCTGGCTGGCCATGACCATCATCCAGACGAGGAATATGCTGCCGATAATCCAAAAAGCGAATTCAGCTTGCCAACATTGACCTATCCTTTGTTAGCCACATGATACTCCATAATTGCAAGCTATAACGCTGCTTATAAGCTCGGGAGAACACTCACAGATGTTCCTCTGCTGTAGGAACGCCAATGTATCCACATTTGGTCCACTTGCGTCGTCGTTAAAGACGTATGTGTTGCATTGGTTGTTGATATTTGGTCCTGCGAAGAGTTGTATCGCGGTTCCGATAATTCCGGCTATGAAGAGGACGAGGAGGATAAAGGATAGTAGCATCATGGTGGCTGGGAGTAGTTTCCGTTGCGCAATGAAGACGATTTCTATGATGATGAAGATTATAGCCAGTGTGCCGACTGTGACACCGTAGGGCATGATCCTAAGGAGCTTGTTAGTACAACTGTTCTACTACACATGTTTTCCCTTCTCGACATCTTGACTATATCGGAAGTTGCGGATTGGGCGTACCAAGGTGTTCCTAATCCCATGCGATCTTGTATTGCCATGAACTGCGCATTGATTCCCAATATTGTTCCGGCTGTTGCCAGCATGACAATTGTCCAGAGGTTCAGCTGTAGGTCGGGCCAGTAGTACTTCTCCCGTACTACTATCGCTGAGCCTACAACTGTGCCTGAATGTCCTGCGCGCGCCATTGCGTTGGTCTTTCGCGCCTCGGCGGCTACGTTGAGATGGGGCTGGAGTATGCGATTGTGGTCGAGCTTGCACTAGGAGGATGCTGTGGTTGTGCGCAATGTGGTTGACAGTGATGGTCGGCTGGTGGGAAGCTTCTCCAGGTCCAAATCGCTTGCGCTTCTAGGTACAGAGCCTTGTGGCCTTGATTTGCGATGCCGCCTATCCGCAGATTGGGCTTGGGACTTGGCGCTACTGCAATGTCGCAATGTTTCCCTTCTCCTGTACCACGAGAGGCTGATGCTTTTTCGCTCCCGGTTCCCGCTTGCTTTTATCGCAAAGGCGCGTTAACTTCTTGCCCGGGTGGTCGTAAGGTGCGTCGGATGATAAATGACGTTACGAGTAACCTCAGCAACGTGTGAGTGTGTTGCGGGGCGGATGCGGAGGTCTCGGAGGTGCTTCAACAGTTAACAATTTCCCTCAAAATGCTGTGTTTATGGGTAGGAGAATCGGAAACGATATTCGCAGAGACGCGGAGAACAGAATGATGGGAATCGCAATTACAAGATGCTGAAATTGCGAAAGCCCCTGTTGTTGTGGTCCGAGGAACCATCATGCCAGCCTCCCAAGCTTTGATGGGGCTGGGAACGAGACTATTGGGCGCGGCAAAAACAGCCATTGCCGGAAACTTGGAATGTTGGCCATCTAGGATGCTTGGGGCATTTGACAGTTGTGACGTCTGGATTATTGTTTGTGAGTAATCTTTAATGCGTTGCAAATAGTCAGCCTGTGCATGTTGTTGATGCTGATGTTTCCGAGGTTGGACATCGGACCCGCTGCTGCTCTACGCAAATCAGTATTCAGCAGGCGTGTACAGAGATTCAGCACTCTTTGCTGTAGTTGCAGTATCAAATAAAGCTACCACTTGAGAGATGTACTCCAAGACGGATTATCAAGATTGGTCTGCTTTCCGCAACCATCATAGTTGACTTGACGAGTTCGACTTGCATCACCTTCCGAGCTTGTTCAGCACGGGCGCGCTATTGCAGAACTCTACTCTGGAGAAGGATTCATTCGCCCAAATGCATCGGGCAAGTTGAACTTCAGAGTAATTTGACTAGAAAATATAACTCGCGCACCCTTCACAGAGTGTCCATAGCAAGGCGCCATGTCTAGACATGATACAGTGATCCCATCAACTCCAAAACGCCTCAAATGATCATGGTATCGGTAGGTAGTCGTAGGATCGAGCCGAAACGGCAGCGCAAACGGTTGCGCATTGCCAGCGTGTTCCGAAAGAGGTGGTTGCCGTCCCAGTCCGAGGCACTTAGTATCCTCCTCGTCCACGTCCACCACCGCGTCCACCTCTTGAGAAACCACCACCACCGCCACCGCGGCCGCCAAATCCGCTTCCTCCACGGCCACCGAAGCTGCCTCCACGTCCAGGGGGTCCACCACGTCCTCGGGGTGCTCCACGGCCGCGACCTCCAAAACCGCGAGAGCCTCCACGGGGTGCTCCGCGACCGGCGCCAGCAGGCCTCTTAGGCTTGGTGACACCACCAACGGGCTTGGGCTTGGGAAGGAACCTAATTTGATCAGCGCAAAACTCCCAAAGGCCATGTAAGCTGGCTTACCTGTCAAGAGGCAGCAGCTTGTCGCCTCCAATGTAGAACTTGTCGCCGGCCTTGAAGGACTTGGCTTGTATGCCCTCTTGGGGCTTGATGGTGAAGTAGACCTGGTTCAAAGGGCCGAGGATTTCGTCGACTTTGCCAACGGGCGTCTATAGCTGGGTCAGCCCATTATCCTCATTGTTTCTTGTCGCAATCTGTGTACCTTGTTCTCGAGATAGATGGGCGCGTTGAAGTATGGGATCTTTGTGTTTATCGATTCGCAGAACATCTCGTTTTCGCAGTCGTGAACGAACTTGCCCATTTCTAGCACGGGGATTAGCAGAATTGCTTGCAGTTTGATCGCTACACGTACCGATGACAGTGTCTGGGGGTCCGAATGAGGCTCCCATGCCACCGCGTCCTGTCGCGCATTAGCTGAAAAGTCGAGGATAGCTTGGAGCGTGCTACACACCTCCACGAGGAGTAAATCCGCCACGTCCGCCGAAGCCGCCGCCACGTCCGCCACGAGGAGTACCGCGAAATGCCATGTTGTTCGTTGTGGTGAAAGTGGATCGGTGCGCGAAAGGTGAGCTTGGTCTAGAGCTTCGCGAAAAGTTCGAACTGAAAATGAAGTTGCAGATAGCGCAACCAATCGGTGCCACGTTTCGCCGGTGGCTCCTTCCGCCGCATGCAACCCCACCAAATGCGCCTCTAAAGGCTAAGTGGGCTGTCGTGCGCGCGCTCTTCTTTTTGGCATTGGCTTCGAGTCTGACGTTACTTTGCTTCCAGACGTGGCTTTTCACCCTGGGTTAGAGTCAGTGCAGCCTCCATCTTCACCATAGAGTCACCCGGCCTCTACCACGCTCCCGGGTTACTGTACCTCGCATACGACTGACTCACAACTCATACAACCCCGCCGAACGCGCCTCACACTCCACCACAACATCGACATGGCTGACGCAGTCAAAGACGCAGTCAACTCGGCTGTCGAGGGTGTCAAGAACCTGTCCGTAGCTGCCGAGCAGAAAGTCACACAGAAGGAGAACAAGGCCCCTAAACCCAAGAAGGAGAAGAAGGCTAAGGGAGATGGTGGTGATGGTCGTCCATTGATGCTCGACCCTGCGCCAGCCTTTATCGACCACCGCATCCAAATCTTCGAGAAGCTCAAGGCGAAATACGACGAGGAGATCGCCCAGAAGCCCCGCGGTATGTTCACCACCTCACGACCACAGTCCTCTCACCCACCGTACTGACACATCGCGCCTTACAGAGAAGATTACCATTACACTCGAGGACGGCAAGAACATCGAAGGAGAGTCATGGGTCACCAGCCCTGCCGACATTGCGCGAAACATTGCAAAGAGTCTGTTCGAGCGCACCGTCGTTGCACGTCTGGACAAGGGCACACCAGATGAGACACTGTGGGATCTCGAGCGACCTTTGGAGAAGAGCTGCAAGCTTGAGCTCCTACCCTTTGACGACCCGGAAGGCAAGAAGGTCTTCTGGCACTCGAGCGCACATATCTTGGGAGAAGCATCGGAACGCAGGTTCGGTTGCGACCTTTGCATTGGCCCTCCAATTGAGGACGGTTTCTACTACGAGGTCAGTTCGCTCCTATCGATAGATGATGTCAACTAATCGCATAACAGATGGCTCTTCCAGAAAACGCTGCAGTTGACCCTGCCGACCACAAGCCGCTTGAGACCATTGTCAACTCCATTGTCAAGGAGAAGCAGCCGTTCCAGCGCTTGACTCTCTCCAAAGACGACCTGTAAGCTCCATGTTTCATGTGCAGGCATCTGTTCTGACCTTTCCAGGCTCGAAATGTTCAAGTCGAACAAATACAAGCAGCACATCATCAAGGACAAGATCGCAGACGGTACCTTCACCACCGTATACCGCAATGGACCGTTGATCGATCTTTGCCGAGGACCACACGTACCGCACACCGGACGGATAAAGCAATTCAAGGTCATGAAGAACTCTGCTTCATACTTCTTGGGTGATGCCAAGAACGACAGCTTACAGCGTATCTACGGTGTCTCGTTCCCAGACAAGGACGCGATGCAGGCCCATCTCAAGTTCCTCGAGGAGGCCGCCAAGCGAGACCACCGCAAGATTGGAAAAGAACAAGAGCTGTTCTTCTTCCACGAGTTCAGCCCCGGTTCTTGCTTCTTCCTACCACACGGTCAAATCATCTACAACACACTGCAAGCATTCCTGCGCGAGGAGTACTGGAATCGTGGGTACCAGGAGGTGGCATCACCGAACATGTACAACTCGGCGCTTTGGAAGATCTCTGGTCACTGGCAGCACTATGCGGAAGACATGTTTACCTTTGATGTCGAGAAGGAGAAGTGGGCGCTGAAGCCTATGAACTGCCCTGGACACTGTCTCATCTTCAAGCATCGTGAGCGAAGCTACAGGGAATTGCCCATCCGTATGGCTGACTTTGGTATTCTACATCGAAATGAGGCTAGTGGTGCGCTTACTGGTCTTACACGAGTCCGCCGATTCCAGCAAGATGACACACACGTATTCTGTACCCAAGATCAGATCACAGAAGAGATTTTTGCACTCTTCGACTTTCTGAAGGCGGTATATGGAAAGTTCGGCTTCACGTTCAAGCTGAAGTTGAGCACACGTCCAGAGGGTTTCCTTGGTGATATTGAAACCTGGAACAAGGCAGAAGCTAAGTTGACTGACGCTCTTAATGATTTTACCGCTGCTGGTGGTGGTGCTTGGGAGCTGAACCCTGGTGACGGTGCCTTCTACGGACCCAAGATCGACATCACCATCTCTGACGCTTTGAAGCGAGAGTTCCAGTGTGCCACCATTCAACTCGATTTCCAATTGCCAAACCAGTTCGAGCTTGAGTACATGACATCTGAAGTTATTCCTACAAAATCCAAGGACCAACCACAGGAAGGCGAACACATCGAGCAGAAGAAGGAGAAGCTGGAAGGTGCCGATGTTACCATCCCCAAGAAGATCAAGGAACCGCAACCAGGTTATGCCCGTCCTGTTATGATTCATCGTGCTATCTATGGATCTTTCGAGCGATTCATCGCGTAAGCTTTATTCCTTTGTAACAACCAAGTATCTTTGCTAACAGAAGTAGTATCCTTACAGAGCACTTCGCCGGTCGATGGCCTTTCTGGCTCTCTCCTCGTCAAGTCATGGTCATTCCCGTCATGCCGGGTGCAAACGATTATGTCAAGGAAGTCCAAGCTGCCCTCCGCAAACGCCACCTCCACGCCGATATCGACATCAGCGGCAACACCATGCAAAAGAAGATCCGCACAGCGCAACTTGCCCTGTACAACTTCATCATGGTCGTTGGTGCTGAGGAACAAGAAGCCCGAGCTGTGAACTGGAGGAACCGTGATGATCAGGAAACACAGCAGCGTGGTGTTATTGTGCCGCTTGATGAAGCGATAGAGAAGCTGGTCAAGTTGAGGGATGAGCGCAGCATCGAGAACAAGGTCTAAGTTCCGAATGTGAAGAAATATTAGCTAGATGCATGAGAAGGCGTACGTGGTATGAAGATACGATTTCATGAAGGAGCAAAAGAGAAAACGAGTGTTTGTGTAGCTTCACTATACGGCAATTTCGTATCCACAATCTCGAACAGTTACGCATGAGCAACAGTTGCTCTCTGTGATACCATATATTTGAACACCGTGATGTGGCGGAGTCAACACAAGGAATGTGTGTTCTTATCTGCCGTCTTTGCTTACCTCTCGAGAAACTTACATCTCTGTCAAAGTGGCAGCATTCACTTGATCGCCATGGCATTTGTAAGGCAAGGTAGAGGTAGAGTGATAAACCAAAAAGGTGTAAGAATTCAAACGAGACGAAAATCAGTAAGTGGTATCTAGCGATCGCGATGAAGGATGAAAGCATACTGCAACGCCTGCAGGTAGGTAGGTATAACAGAAACGCCCAGCATAAAACAACAACGTAACCAACTCCTTCGTTAAGCATTCGTTTCCAACTTTCCGACTTCCTCTCCGCATGCCGTTGAGTCCATAGACCATTCGCATATGGTGCTTACAACCTCTACTAATCGTCCGTCGTGTTGGTCGGCTACCATCCACCCCTGACCCTCCTGACTTTCTCCTTTCCACCGACTCGACCAGCGGTGATACGTCGGACCCATCGCCTGATTGCCCAACCCCTGGCCAAGGCCTGGAAAGCCAAAACGTCACTTTCAAGTTGCTTGTTGCGGGCATCTTGGATCGCCTTCCAACGTCTCTGAATCACAATGGCAGCATCGACCATCTTCTGTCGAGCTTGCGCCACTACTGCGCAGTTGTGCGCTATCTTCATTGCTTGTATGCGAGTGCTGACCTGACGGCGGACTAGGAAACGGCGGAAAGCGGATTGAATAGTAGAAGCTGCGCGGTGTGTGCGTGCAAGCGGCAACAGTCGACTTGCCAGGAAAGATAGAGTAAGGAGGGTAAAGTCTCTGCTTGGGATTGAACGAGCTGTGCTGTGTTGTGGCGTGAAAAGCGCAATGAATGAAGTTGAGCAGCCGACAGCCTTGAGTTTTGTTGCTAATCCGAGTCGCTCATTCCCTTCGGTGGAGATGGTCAGATTCGACGGCAAGTAGGTATCAACGATGGCTTCTAGAACCTTTGGGTCTGCAAAACTTGTGGTCAGGTTTGCAACGCGTAGGCCATGAAGCCGAGCAACGGAGCGTGACCATGAAAGCAAGAGACGCTTATGATATGCCATGCCATCCAGCTCAGTGGCCCCGTCTTCTTCATTGTCGGAATCAAGGACTCGTCCCTCATAGCTATCCCGGGCCCTGTACCACTGGTTTCGGAAACGCTCTGTCTCTTTGACAAGTTGCGGCCAGTCAACAAGGCTTCCAAGACCACACTTGCCGACAAGTGACCAAAGAAGCGAGAGTGTCTTCTCGCGGTGTCCGTCGACAATATCTTCGGCTTTGATGCCACTGACTGCTGCGCTGGGCATGCCTGTGACATGACTCAATGCAGCTAGGGCAATCTGGACATTGTAGACCTTCTGGGGACGGCCAATGGCTGGGTACTTGAGGTGCTGGGAGAGGACCCAAATTCCTTTCTGCGAAGAATCGAGGGAGCTATTAAGAAGCTCACCGCTGGGTAGACTGAGAGTGACGGTATCCTCTTGATGCGTTGTGTGGGTGGTTGACGGGTAAAGCAGTAACTCTACAAGACGAGCAAGTACGATTCCATCACGGAGGTCAATGGCGATATTGTCGATTTGGTAGGTGTACTCTTGTAGTGGATACTGGACATGTTCGACCTTGTAATTGAGGTGGTTTAGCGGTCGAGTGATGTCGCCGTGTGAAGGGAGCAGCATCTTTGATAACTGATGTAGGACCTCGACAGATGTTTTGTAGGGTGACGTCGTCTGGAACAGGCAGCCTGATAGAGCATCCGTCGTCTTGGCTTGGTCGAGGATCAGAATCAGCATCAGACTTCGTAAAGCAGTACGGCGCCATGACCAGCCTTGAGAACCGAAGTCATCATCGCCGCGTGTAAGGCTAGCAATGCTGCCACCTCCGGATTTGACGCGAACAGCATCCTCATTTTTGATCAGGAATGCAGACAGAAAGCTCTCGATAGCCCGGCGCTCTGCGCGATACTGGCGGGAGCCATCATCTGAGCACGTTGAACCTGTGGATAGTCGACAGGGCGTTGTAATTTGGCGGCCGACAATAGTCTCAGCTGCAGCACGTAATGCATTCAGATCGTATGACTTGGTCCATAGGCTGAGGAACTTCTTGCGCAAGCCAACATCGTCCTTGAGCCTGAGCGTCTGGGCCAGGAGATCCTTCGGTATGCTCAGCGCACCAAATTGTAGTGAGGCCTGTAGTCGCTTGTGAAGCGACGGTATAGCGGGATCGTGGTATATGGCAAGCATCTTCTTGCGCATGTCCTCAGGGCTCTGTTCGTCGGTCGGGTCTCTGCTCGCGGAATCAAATACTGAGTTCAGAAGTTGTGTAATGGCGACTTCCTGGTAGGTAAGCCAGTTGTCTTCGTACAACTCCGGCTGTGCCAGATCCTCCTGTAGTACTGGATACTTCTCTTGTGATTGTGGTCGCTGGCCTACTTCGTGTAGCATGGTGATGCTGCTTGCTACGCTCCCAGTCTTCTGGCGGCGCAGTGCTGTAGGTGGAGATTTGTCGGTGTGGAACGGCGAGGAGGAAAGTGGCGCGCGCTTCGCCTTGGCCAGTTTCGCTCGTTCAGTCTTGATGGTCGTCCTCAGAGATGCCCTGCTACTTGCGGCGGAAGCAGTGCCGTCTGCTCTGGCCTTGAGCGCTTTTGCTGGTACGTCGTCTTGAGCCACGTGTGATCGTGGTCGCTTCTGCGAGCCCTCTGGCCGTTTCTTAGTATGAAGTATGCGTTCGGGCTCTTTGGGAGCACTGAAGTGGACCTTGGGGGCTTTGGCGACAGGTTTCTTCGCGTCTGCCTTGGTGAAGTTTATCTCAATATGCGTTCCGATCTTCTTCTTCTCGATAGCCTCGATTCCTGGTGGCATGTTCTCTTTCCCGCCCCCTGAGCCCACTATGTCGCTCGAAAAGGATGAGCTCTGCGATGATCGCGATGTTGTGCTCAAGGGACCTCGCTTCGGTGGTGCAGCGAGAGACTTGCGCGGTGCCTTTTTGTCCCTCTTCAACGCTGGCATCAGATTGTTTCCTTCTTCCTCGGATAATGTGACCAGATCTAGGCCGATGTCTGGCGAAGTCTCTCGAACGTTGCGCGGCGCATGTGTCGGCTGTCCAGGGTGGATGGTGAAGACTGACGTGTCATCAGACGGAATGTAAATGGTCCTCCGTCGCAAGTCCTTCTTAGGGGCCTGCTTCTTGAGTTCTTTCCTCTCCAAGACATCTTCCTGCAACTGCACCGTCGCATTGGTGTCTGAGGCATGTTTATCGGTGGGCACCTGCGAAACGCGTCTTCGGTGCGGCTTCTCGTGGTGTGGCTCCTGGACAGGCGCGACAGGCTTGGGTATCCTCTGTGCTGGGTGCGCAAGTATGGTGCTCTTCTTGGTCCTGGCAGCCGCGGGAACAACGCTTGCGCGGCTCCTCCTCTTGACGCCAAACTCTGCTTGTTGCTGTTCCTCCTCCTGAGCGACATCCTCGAAGATGTCAAGTGACGGGTTGAAGGCGGGCTTGTGCATGTTGCGCATCGGTCGTCGTGGCTTTGCGTGGCGAGCGGGCTTCAGCTCCGTCGTGTATTCGAGGTTTGCCGTCGTGCTGTTCTCGTCGTAGTAGGCGGGCGCGTAGTGGCTTCCATAGCCGCTGTAGTAGCTGCTGGTGGAGGAATAGGGCGCCGGGCAGGGTGTGCCCGCAGTGTATCCGTACATGTTGGCGGGTGGTGAGGTCGAGATTGCTGGCAATATTGGGAGCGCCGGCGCATAGATTGTGAGGGATCCTCGTTCAAGGGAGTTTAGGATCAATGGGGTGGGCTAACGCTTAGCCCATTGTGGCGCACGGGTGGGCCCCGTTTACCAACACCATCACCCGGGCAACAACACCTAAGAAACGGCCGAACGACTTTCCTAAACTTGACGTCACTCGGCATAACACACGTCCCATAGCATACAGAGCCCTACGGAATTCCCCGGCCAGCTCTGATAGCCTTTGCCGCCTCAGACTGTGCGCGGTCCTCCGCATATCGCTGGTAGATCGGCAAGTAATGCTGCCTCTCGCTCAGCGTCTCCTTGACACTCCTCCTGTTCTCAACAGCAGACAGCCACTTCCTGAACCTCTTCCATACCTCCTCGTCCTCTCCACCTTTGCCCTCATCGGGAATGCCTGAGCCACCCTTGAAGTGATCAAATACCCATAGTCGATTGGCCCAAGGTGCAATGACTATATCGATGAGCTGAAAGTCCTTGCCCGAGAAGAATGGGCCCTCGGCATCCATCTCGCGCGTGAACTCCTTCAGGTGATTAAGGAAATCCTTTTGCTTCTCTTCCAAGCCATCGCCTTGATGTTGTAGGAAGCGGTGGTAGGCAGGTATGATGCGACTACCTACATAGTCCGTCCAGATCCTCGTTCTAGCCCTCTCATACGCATCTGTAGGCATGAGGTGCGGTGTGTGTTGAGGGTAAGCTTCCTCGAGGAATTCACACAAAACCGTACTCTCATAGAGTGGCTTGTCTTGGTACTGTAGCGTGGGAACTAAGCCGCGCGGGTTGAGATCCAGTAGCGACTTTGGCTTATGGTATGGATTGACTTCAATGTACTGGTACTGTATGCCCTTCTCCTCTAGTGCAATCCAGACGCGCTGCACGAAAGGGCAAAACCACCCTGAATATAATTTCAACGGACATTCTGCAGCGTGAGCCTTGTCAAGTCAGCAACAGACAACATGCAGGAGGTGTGAGTAGACTTACTTTGACTGTGGCTGATGCAAGTCCCGTTGCTTCGGGGTGAAGGTCTGCGTCAGGATGATCCTTGCCCATGATAGTGACTTGATTTGGTCTGTGAACTGTTCTAAACTTGAGAGTATTCGTCGGCGCAGTTGAGACTCCCAAGCACCTTAGACTTGCTCCAAGATTATATAGCTGTGATCGCCACATTCGTGACCTTCGACGCCATAGACATGGGTTGTCATCACATCATTGACAAACGTCGTGGCCATGACGAAAGCGGGGCATGATCCAATCAAAGCTATCCAGCCCTGGAAGCTGGTCGACACATCATACCAGATATATCTACATTATCCACGTGCCAAAGATTACTTAAAATCTGCACAATCCAATAACAGGCGAAAATACTAATGTTTGAAGATATCCGAGACACATCGTCTCATGTTACTTGCTTCGGAAAGTAAATCATTGTTTATATAAATCTGCAAGCTTTTACAGCTTCGATGGAGATCTACTACGACCTCAACACAATCTCATCACGTTGATTGTGCTTGTATGCACTTACATGGACCGTGCCTTTTCCAAATCCGCCTCCTTGAGCTCCCTAAGCTTGCCTGTATTTGCGACTCCACCTGTAACGTTCGCAGCAATAATCTCCTTTGCATAACCCAAAAGGCCGACTTCCGTCACATAGTACGATACGTACTTGCTCTTGATCTCAATCAACGTCATGCGAGGATCCTCAGGCCCGCCAGTGTGCTTTCCGTCACCGAGGTCACCAAACCATGCGGCAGCTCCGCGGCTCCATACCTCCTTGATGCGAGGATCACTGTTGTCTGTTGTTGTGGCAGTGCCGGTGATAGAAGCCCATTCCTGAGTCTTAAGGTCTTGGAAGGAGATCTGGACCTCCTTATTTTGGTCCAGGTCGTTGAACTTTTGCGAGTGTGCGTTGGAGAGGAACAGGAAGTCGGGACCGTCGCGGCGGGCGAGAGCCATGGAGCGACCAACAGGGCCTTGAAGCGCTGATTAGTTCTTATTCACATTGAACAATTGAGGAAGAATGTGGCTTTAGAGTGAACGGATAGAGAGCGACGTACCGACACCATTGCGGTATGTGTTGAGCATGCAAATCTTCTTGCCATCTACCATTTCAAAGAATTGTTTGATCTGCTGGTCCTTGGGCGTCTCGTCGTCATACTGCTTCGCGACCGAGGGATCGGTCTTGGAGTTGACCTCGCTAGCCTTGAGTTGGTCCGGCATTTGGAAGATGTGTGTTGTCGAGAAATATCGAGGGGTAGTGATTTTGGCAGGTGTTGAAATGCGAGTCGTAAATTGGGTTCTAGGCAGGACAATTCTTGCAGAGCGTACAAGTAGTCGAGAAGCAGAAGACATCTTTAGTATAACCTGCTCGTGTATGTACGTAGACGTAACAGTGAGATCAGAAGGTCAAGTAACAGCGGATAATCTACGCCGACGCGAGCACATGTGGCTCGTTGAGAGACGCCCCATAAGCAACATGACGTCGTGATGGAGCGCGTTCAGTTGGCTGGTGTCACTTTGGGTGGAGGTGGAGGCATCTAGACAAATGCATGACGACGTTGTTAATTCGCGTCAGATGCGCATCACGCTAAGTACGCGCGCGATCGATCCTTCCAAGATTCCGTCTTTTGGGGCCGGTATGCACGGAGTCCGAACAGATGCTTAGTTTACATCGCATATCGTATAGCAAAAGGCCGTCTCACCGATGGTCTGAGGGTGGCCTGTTGACCATGGCGGGTATGGAGAGGTGGGCCTCGATAGCGGTCTTGTTCCGCACTACAACGACGACGTTGCACTTTGCGAAAGAAGAGCTCGACCGTGAAACTATGCAACGCCATGTGCCTCCCTCTTAGTTAACATCGAAGACAGAAGCGTGCATGTGTTCATTGATGCACTAGTTATTCGAACAGTACATGTTTGATGAATCACACCGCCCTCCCAAACTGGTCGCTCGCAAAACTATGGTGACTCCAACGCTCATCGTCGACTCTCCTTTCCGACTCCAGCTCAATGGTTTTCGTTACAGTCACTTCAATCTTTCTTTCAGCATTCCCTTCAGTACTGGTACTCTTTATGTCGTCGCTTAATCGGTGGAATTTGCCAAACTCGGAAACGTTCCTCATGTGTCCCAGTTCGAAAACCTCGGACTGCGTCTGGGTCGATGTGAATGTCTTCTTGACATGACTCTTTGTTCCACCAACAGTAGATTTTGTGTGCGTAATGAAACCTTGGAGGTGTAGGGCTTTGGCAAACGAGCGGAGGAGTGGTTTGAAAGAGAGAGCACAAGCGCTAAGAAGGTACATTCCAGGTTCTATCATCGTCCAGTTCGTGAGAGAGACATGGTTCCATGTCACATCTGTAAGAGGTCCAGCTTCTGCAAGGGTTCGGGCGAACACCACTGTGCGGACTATAGAGGCGATTATGCCGCTGCACGAATGTTAGTTATGTAGATCCTAGAAGATACGAAGCGACAAATGGCAAGACTACTTACACGCTACCAGTAAGAAATATGAGTAATAACCCAATTCTTCTCCCAATACTGATCTTCAAACACCACACTGTTCTCAGGGGCAGTATGAGAACAGCTAGGTCAGTAACAATATTAGGTACGCTTGAGCTGTTTGCGAAGACCTGAACGTTGAAGCATCGTCCATTCGGATCGCTTTTGTCCCAGTTGAAAGCGAAAGGCATGCATTGGAACATAACAGCTACCGTGAAAGAGATCCAAGTGGCGAAGACAAGAAAAACCAGCGCCTTAGCTACCATGCGCTCATACTTGTTGGTGAGGATGTGTAAGTAGAGCAGTACCACTACGAGTTTCGGGAATGCAACAGCTGCTGGATGTAGGACTTCTTGTATCATAATACCTTTGAAGTGCTCACGTATCTTCGCCGGATCCGTGGAAAGAATATAGGCTATGTGCCGACCTGAAATATCGATGTACAAAATCAGCTTATGCCTCGTATACAGTCAACATATTGGAACCTTTACCTGTGCTGGCTTTCTCTACCATCACTGCGACATGTGTCAATGTGTGCTATAGGGACTTTGAGGGGTTGCCTACCAATACCGACGATGCACAAACCTACCTCAGCCAACCAGGCAAAGGGTATGAGAACATCTTCAATATTGAAAGCAGTGCTTGTGAGATGGCGAGAATAGTAGCGCAAAGCAACGAACGTAGTGCAAAAGATGATCAATAGACAGGCCGTCGCTTGGATAGTTGGACCTCGATTTTCGGCCAGGAATGTTGGTGAGGGTTGATGTGCTAAATCCATAGTAAAACCAGAGAAACGATAGCTACCGGTGTCTGACTGCCAGAGTCAAATTATCGATAGTTTGAGGGTAGGAACTAGAACGAAAGACTGCAAATCGACCAAGCGCGTGCTTTGTGGGTGTAATCATTATCAAATACTACTGCCCCAGCTCATCTTTGCGGCACGGAAGGGAACAAATGTGCCTGCAAGATGTGGCTGGCCGATGTATCAGAGATGCAGATGTACCCGGAGTGTCCGTGCAAACCTCGGCGCATATACATTGGTCGAGCAGATCTGTACCATTGTAGTAGCCCCGGGGAACGCGCTAGAATGTACGACCAAGGAGTCAGATGTACCTGGGAGGACCATACATGTTGATGCATGTGACAAGTTACCTATTGGTACTTGCTTTCTTAAGTAGGGATATGGGCTGTCTTACCAAACTTCTGGGATATAGGTAAGCTCAAGTATTTGATGCTGATACGGCACTGGTCGAACGCGTGAGCTGACACACCATAAGCTAGTTTGGTTAGTTGGTACAAAGCAGAACCCTTCGGGGTTCATCGTCAGTACTCCTAAGGACATCATGTTAGTCTTAGTATTCGAGTGAGCCGTAAGCTTCACAGCAGCTGGCTGATCTTGAAGCATCAAGGGAATAATGCAGAGCCTGACCGTGAGCGGAAAATACATTGGCAGGTACCATGAGTGAAACACGCATTCGCCATGAATGCAAGCTGTATGCGAACTGTACTCCTCCGACCCCCAAAGTTAGCCGCTGGGCATGATCGTATTGGGTCTGCTTAACAAACCCCCGAGAGTACTTGAGAATTCTGAAACGCAGTTTCCTACGGGTTTCTTGAATGCATGAACAAGTATCGATGGGTACCTGGGATGCCGTCGGATCGTAATCGTAAGCGAGAGAATTCGCCTGAACTTTGAGACGCAACAATTCATCCTAAATCGGAATAATCATTGTCTTGCCGCTTTCCTGATGACTGGAGTCCGTGGTCACACTGAAAGCTTACCAGCTAGAACTGGAGGCAGGGCGTCGGTGTCGCTTGCTTTGACATCGACACTTTCTGCTATAGGAGCTGCATGTAACGAAGACCGGAAGGTCGACGATACGTTGCGAAACCAGTGACCAGGTTGCTCGGTTGGCTAAAGTGATGAGATGCAGTGAGGTTGTTGGTGGCGAATTTGTGAGACAGCCTGAGTGAGAAGCGAAGCTTGAGCCACAATGCACGTACCCAAGATGACGACGGAACCTTCGCCTTGGAACCAAAGACTGCCAGCCCATCACACATACGTTGAGGTCTTGTTCATGATGCAGCAGATCGAAAAAACACAACATCCTAGATCACGAGTACTTTGATACACTTCATGGAGACGCTTCATCAACTAACTCAGCGAATGAGCGCCCTTGTGCAGAAGAAAGCGAAGTTTCGCGCTCATGTGTGGAGTCGAGGGCGTAGGGCTGTTCATACATGGCCCCTAAACCAGCGTTCCTTATGCCGAGCTCCATCTTCGGAGACAGGATTTGAGACTTGAAATTTGAACATTTGAACTCCAATCGGAAACCACAATAAGATTAGTGCAATCACAGTTACCATAAAAGACAATCATTGAGTGTAAAAACCGAAAACCATATCCTAATTAATCATACTACCAAGTAATCCAAAAGCATCCGCTATGTGCGGACATCGCTAACAAAAACAAGATATGGGTATATAGTGCCGCCGTTAACAACCAAAAAAAGGAAAAGGGTATAACCTCGTCATAGTCGTTAAAGCGTGAAGAATCGTAAACGTAACCATCATTACCGGGCCCGGGGCCAGATGCCAAGAGTGGAGAGATAAAAAAGCAATACAAGCCAACGCCATACATGGAACAGAGCAGAGAGGGAAATGATCCAACATCAGAACCAACGCCTGCGAGCAAATCAAAAGTAACAGAACCGTACAAAATACAACATGAAAAGAGATGAACAGCAAATGTACAAACGTAAAGACGAGTGTTGAGGAGATAATCCCCTTTAATCACCTCGTCGCATGAAGCCAAAGCGCTTCTTCTTTTTGGCGTCCTTGGAGTCTGCCATCGGTGCATTTGGGTAGCCAGTCAGGGCAGCCTCCGCGTTGAGTCGTTCAGCTTCCTCGTAATCAAATGGCTTGGTCCACTGTCTCTGTGGTATCTCTCCCAATCTCGTGCTGTCGGAAGCAAAAGTGTAGCTAGATGGTGTGGCTTTGTCCAAGCGACGACGGAAGTGAAGGGTCGCTGGGGCCTGATCGAGTAATGGCGGAGGGGATAGGTAGGAAGGTTTGTTTGGAACTGGCGGCTTGGAAGAGACTGAGGGTTTGGAGTGAGCAGGGGACGAGGAGCGGCGGGATGTAGGGGCAAAGGTAGGGAGCTTGGGGGTAGGCTCATTGAGGTGCTTTGGGGAGGGTGATTTGCTAGTGGTGTAGGCAGCTTCTTGGGGCCATGGTTCGCGCGGGTCGTCGAAGGAATCAACGCGCTGCTTGACAGCACCACTTGTCTTTGTTGGACCGCAACCTAGTGTACCTCTGATAACGCCAGAAGTCTCAATCTCGAATGGCTCGACAGGTACATAAAGGGGTAGTTGTGGTGCCATCTGAATCTTCTTTGGCTCGGGAGATGCCAATGGAGAAGAGCTGCGTGATGAATTGGATGGCGACTTCACTGAGCTAGATTTCTTACTCGATGAGCTGTCTTTACGGGTGGTCTTTGGTCGCATAACGACGAGCCGTGGTTCATTCGAGCTCCGACTTTTGATGGACATGCGTGTTACTACTGGGCCTGAAGAGCGTTGGCGAGAAGAGCTCGAGTGCTTTCTCTTCTCCTTCTCAGGACTGGTGCTTCGAGAAGAACAGTCGTGGTGTTTACTTGTGCCGCATCGCGGGCATGGTGGAGCGCCAATGCTATGCAGCTGAAGTTGAGATTGGCTTAGTCGCTGATACAATTGGGCAAGGCTTTGTAGTGCTTCGCGACGTGATGCATCGGAGAGGTGGGTCAATGACTTGTAGTCTAGATCTAGGTGGCCCTTTCCGCTTTTGTGTCCATCATGATTTAAAAAAGCTGCGATAATAGCAACTAGACCGGTGTTTAATTTGATCAAGATCTCTGCGAGGGATGCATGGGCAATAGCTGTATTGTGTTAGATTGGATAACAAATCAGGTGGACGTTCTACTTACAGTCGCCCTTTGCGAACCGCGGCCCGATGCCGCTGTAGTAGCATTCAGTATACTTCCCGGCCACCTCCTCCGGCCCTCTGCGTAAGCTTTTTGAAAGTTGGTGCTCCGCAGTACTTGTTGAATCAGGTACTTCGGTATCTCTCTTTGATCTGCGCTTTCTTCTCCTCTCGCGCAACTTTTTGAAGATGTCCAATCCATTTGTGAAGGCTTCTATAATGCCAGAGACACATGTAGATACCTCGGCTTCTTCAGCCTTACGCGCAACATGCGCATGGTCCAACTTGACCGCCATCGCTAAAACGCAAGACAACGAACAAGGAAAAGGTGCAATGCAGAATGGAACTGAAGAGAAAGGAAGAGAAAAGGACGATAGGTATACAAAATTGCAATAAACAAAGTGCGGTCTAAGCATCCATTAGCGAGGGTGAATGAAGAGTCATCCAAAAAGCCAAATCACAACGTTAACCTCAGTTGTGTTAAGTCGAGTCAAAGTCGCCGTTAACACGCTCGCCCAAGACGGGGGCCCTGACACTTATCCCGCTGGCATCCTGACCCATGTCGCCGCACGCCCTCGATTGCTCATAAGTGTGTAGCAGGGCTTGCGTTCCTGCAGTCGTTACTGGGTGCTACCCACCGTCCTCGCACCGCCTAGGCCACCGTTTCAACCTTGTGCTGTTCACGACCTGCACGTAGCCGCCTCGATGTGGTGTCTTGGGAGGCAGCTGAAGTTTAACTGGACACGTGTTTTACGCTAGCGACAAGCGACGACGGGATGAGGCAGGCTAGACTGGCATCGATAAGCTTTGTGGGTCTGGTGAGTGGAGGACTCGAGAGCGTGCATTTACATGTGCATATAAATGTGCATGAAACATTCGTCCAGTATCGCCTCGTGGGCTGGAATTACTGCGACTCGGAGGGAGTATGCGTGCGGGGTGCATACGAGATGAATGGACAGGAAAGCATGCTTCATTGTTTCGCTGTTGACGGCGAAATGATCAAACATGTGTAGCGATTCGCAGTGGAGCACCGACCGGTGAGCGTGTCATTCGCAGGGATTGCCTGTCGTACTTTATTGGACAACTGCGACTCCCTGTCGGTCAAAGAATAATCAGACAAACCCAAACGCCTCGCTATGCTATACAGAACCATAACAGTGCCATCATCCATCGTCTATCTACTGCTCACTGTCTTCAACATCTTCCATGGTGACCGTCCGCCTCGTCGCACCCTGACTGTCCGAATTATTGTCAGCAACCGCAGAGCTTGAACCCTCAGTCTCCGTCCTTTCCCCTACGTTGCCAAAACTCCAGCTAGACTCAAGACTACTCTCAAGACTACTGGGATCGGCAGGCTTTGGGGACAAAGTCGAGGACTGATCAGAAACAGTCGCGTTCGGCGCTGATGGGGTTGGCTGGCTTTGAGGAGTCACAGTAGCAGACGTTGAAGGCCCTGCTTCAGATCCCACTACTGGCTGCGATGGTTGCGATTGAGGTTGCGCCGAGCTGCCTTCTTGCGCCAGATGTCCAGGTTGCGAGGACGGACGTGTCGCGGTTTCTTGGCCAGTCCGTGGCGCTAGTGCCATCGGCCTCAATGTCCACCCTTCCGGTAGCGTTAGCCCTTCGGGTACACCAGGATCACCCTGACGCAAGACGGAACCTCTAGAGAAATAGGCTTGTGGAGTAAACGAATTCGTACTGGATGCATTCAACGAGGCAATAGGTGGTAGCTCTTGCCCTGTTGCGGCTATTACGCCAGAAGCCTGTTGAAGTCGGTTGAGCTCAGCAAGAAGTCTGTGGAGAACCTCGAGTTGCTCATGTTGTACGTTCAAACTTCGCATCGATTCAATGATGTTCTGTTGTATACGCAGTATGTCCGACTGAATATCTGACGGGTGAAGTGCGACAGCTCCGGGCATGGGTCCAGTAGGAAAGCTGGGAGCAACGCCTTGTGTGGCCGCTATGTGGCCCTGTGCTTGGTTTTGTTGGTCTTGATTTTGCGCCACGTTGTTCGCGGCGGCCTGTTGACGCAGTTGCTGAATCGCATTCTGCACAGCGACGTTATCCTGTTGGCCGGGTGGTACCCGAATATTCCCGAGAGCGACTCTAAAGGGTCCGAAGTTGAAAACGCGCATGTTGCCGGCTGGGGGATTCGCCTGTGCACCTTGCGGTGCTGCCTGTTGGCCCTGGCCTTGTTGCCCTCCAACAGCACCTTGTTGTGCATTTCCTCCAAACATTGCTCGCAGCGCCTCTCGGTTCTGCTGGTTTTGCTCGCCGGGGTTGGCCTGGTTGTTGCGCTGTGTGTTCTGTGTCGTCGCCGATGCGAGTACTGGTCTTCGGCACGTGGGACACACTTGTTGTCTCTCCAGCCAACTACGAAGACAGCCGAAATGCAAGATGTGCCCACATGGGAGCTTCTTCGGCCGTTGTCGCTCATCCATCCTTCGGCCAGGCTGCGCACCATCCGCACCTGGCTGTGTCCAGGGCCGCATCTCCTCGCGACAGACGATGCATGTATTCTCTCGATCCAGTTCTTCTGCTGTCGCGTCTGGATAGCGTGTGTTCATGTCGCGGGTCGCGTTCCGGTACTGGATGAAGTCGTTGATTCGCTTGAGAAGGGATCGTATCGTCATGAACAGGTCTCGCATAATATGAATCGGTATGCCGTAGAATGTCATAAGAATGACGAAGAAGCCCAGATAGACAAGCGTCTTGACGAAGTCGGTCGCGAGGTCCAAGTAAAAAACCCAGCGGCCCTTTTCCTCCCACCCGGGCACGTCACCTTCATCATCATCATCCTCCTCCTCCTCCTCCATCTCGACAGGCGCTTCAGCTCCAGCTGCTGCTGCCTGTTGACGTGTCTGTTCTCTTGCAATTCTGCGAGCCTCCTCTCGTGCCTTCTCTTGGCGCTGTGTAATGAATAGTTCGACGAGCGAGAGCGTGTATCGTAGCAGAGTCGAAATGGATGCGGTCGCCAGGAGGACGTATTCGAAGCCAAACATGACCATGACACCAGGCCGCGCCTCTGAGAGAATGGAATCGATGCAGTATTGCATCATGAATATATCGAAGCCAACGGAGAGTAGCAGGGAGCTCATCAGGCGGGTGTGGAACAACTTTGGATTCGCGGGCGGCTGTTGCTCGAGAAACTCGACCCTTCCCTCCCCAATCCACTGCCAGACCTTGCCTGCGAGCAAGCAGAGGAACATGGCGAAGAACCACATGCCAAGATCGTCTCTGAAGATGGTCATTGCTAGTAATGTCTCGCTCACAGCAAACCAAGCCTTGTCGTATAGCTGCTCCGTCTCGATGGGGCGCAGAGGGCCATAGAAGAGTCGTTGGAGTCCATAACCAAAGCTCGCGGCGACTATGAGCACGAGATTGACCAGGAACATGAGCGAGCCGGTGCTCTGGGAGATGTAGACGGCGGCCGAGTAGAAGTTTGGGCGCTCATAGTATGCGCGCATCAGCACGAGGTTGGCCACGACGGCCGAACCTGCAACGTAGAGTTTGAGTCGACTCATGGTGCTATGGTGAAGCTGCAAGACGCCTATAAAAGGTTGTGTGTCCCCATCTGAGAGTGTAAACAACGACTGCAAGTCGCGTTGCGGCGGTGCTCGCGTTGGGGGTTTAGGAAACGTGGCCCGCCACGGCAATGACGTTCGCCCGCCGCCAAGCACAGAGGCACATGTGCAAGCGAGTGAAGTGCAACACATCGTATCGCTTGCACGTGTGCCTTGTGTGCTTCAGTATATTCCAAGCATCATCATTCTCCCCAGAAAACGAGAAGCCATGTCGTGCTCCCGGATTCATGGGCTCTGGAACGCTGCGGTGTGCATCAACACCCCAGATTCTGGCGCGCAATAGCGCATAGGCAGTCCTGCGTCTATGGTACTCCATCTCATGCACACCATCCATGGAATGGTTCACTGCGCTGCTCGAGCGTTCCTGCGCAAGAGCTGCACGTCTGAGAGCTACTCCCCAGTAGTCCGAAGCGATCCGGATTCTACATAGCAGAGCTCTTGGTCATCCCCGCAGCAAGACTTCCAAGGTTGGTTCTCGGGAGGATACTCGGTAGCACAACAACCCACTACTACTCTAAGGACCGTTGTCGGTAATTGCCAGCCAAGCCATGTCATGTACACAAGAAAAGTCTTCTTCAACTTGGACCAGGCGCAGCGATTACGAGACTGATCGGAGGAATTTCCGGACTTCGAGGTCCGCTGCCTTTCCACAACAGTTTAGCAACTGTACAGGAGATGACTGGGTGGCGTATACCAGCCCTTCTATGCACGTTCGAGAACGACACTTTCTTCTTTCCCCTACCGATTGTGGGGAACCATGGGGAGCTTGTGCCGAATTTGCGGGGATCGTCAACAGGCTACTGCAAACCAGCTTCGGCATTGCGCCAGCCCAGACCATAGGCCCGGGGCGCAAGCTCTTGGATTTGAATATCATGATCACAGACTATCTTGGTGGACCCTGCTTGTTTACTGCGGAAAAGTACATAAACCTCTCATAGCTGCTGTTTAGTTTGAGTATCGATCAGCGAACCCATTGTTCAGGTAAGCCTTTCCTACGCTCGGAGTACTTTTTGTCTTTGTATCGATGTTGTCTATCTTGATTCAGACTGGAGGCTCCTCGGACTATGAAGACATCTTTATCTCGACTTGTGACTGAACTGACCATTTGTAGCATCGACAACAGCCATCTTCGAACAAGATGTTTCGATCTCTCCCTCTTCTGAGCGTGGCGCTCGGAGGCCTCTCCACTGTTGGTGCGCAGGAGTTGCCCGCAGTACTGACTGCCGATATCATTGAGAGCATGGGCAACAACTCCCTCTTCACAAGATGGCGCCCGACTTACCACTTCTCTGCACCAGCAGGATGGCTGAATGATCCGTGTGGTGCGTCTCTCTGTGCGAATCACGTGTGAAACAGATGCTGACTTCGTACACCGGTCCTTAGGTATGATGTACGATCCTACTACAGAGACTTATCATCTTCATTACCAGTGGCATCCAAACCACGTCAACTGGGGTAATATCTCTTGGGGTCATGCGACGTCCAAAGATATGATCACTTGGACGGACGTCGGAGGTTGGGAAGACGACAAGGCACAGTCTGTCGGTACCGGACCCTACCCCGACTCCGACAACAGCAGTTACTATGGTCTTGGTATCTTTTCTGGCTCAGGACAACCCTACAACCTGAAGGGCGAGCAAGACGGTACTCTCATCAACTTCTACACTTCAGTTCAACACCTTCCCACAAACTGGGCTTTGCCATATATCCCAGGAACTGAGAGCCAGAGCATTGTCATTTCCAATGACGGTGGTAAGACGTGGGAGCAGTTTGCCGGTAACCCTATCATGACTGAGCCGCCGGAGGGTTGGAACATTACTGGATGGCGCGATCCATTTGTCGAGGTATGATATCTGTTTAAACTCTTTCCGAGTTCAGCACTAACTTTCACAAGCCTTGGCCGGAGATGGATGCTCTCTTGGGACAAGAGGAGCCTCACTGGTACATGGTTCTCGGCTCCGGTATCAAGGGCGAAGGTGGAGGTGGTCGCATTCCTTTCTACAGTGCCCCTGCCAGCAACTTGACAGACTGGACCTTCCTTGGTGCCTTGTGGGAGCCCGACAGGAACGAGACTCTTGGTTCACTGGTCGAGACTGGAACCTACGGCTTCAACTTTGAAGTGTGAGTGTAAAGCCTCTTACATTTAAGGTCCAAGTACTGACTTGTGCAGATCAAACTTCTTCTCTCTGAAGGATGAAGATGATGACGTTCACTACTACGTCCTTATGGGAACAGAGGGAGGTAACCTTACCTGGCACCCCCGTGCACAGTGGGGTTTGTGGAACGAAGGCCAGGTCACTAGGAGGGAGAATGGCTCAGCCGAGTTCACCCCTCTGTCCGGTGGCGCCATCGATTCTGGCCTACTTTACGCAGTAACCAGTTTCTGGGATTCAAAGAACGACCGTCGCGTCCAGTGGGGTTGGGCAAACGAGGAGAACAACAACTTCGCCATCAACCAGCAAGGCTTCCAAGGTGCCATGGCCATACCACGAGAGATGTATGTCATCAAGACCAAGGATCTGGTCAACACCGATGCCGGCCTGACCACCAAGGGAAACACTCGCGTGGTAGAACACAGTGACGGTACTTTCACTGGATACACCCTGGGAGCTCGAGCTCTACCTGATGTTGTCGAGGGGCTTCATGGTGGAGCCGAGCCACAAACCATTCAGACTGAGAAGACCGCTTGCGTTTCCGGTGACGTTTCTGGCAATGGTACCAGCCATATGCATCTCCAAGTTACCCTATCTGACTTCACTGGACCTGCTGGTGTTGTGGTTGCTCAATCGCCCGGACACGAGGAGCAGACAATCGTTTGGTACAGCCCTGAGAACTATACCATCAACGTTGACCGCTCGCAATCGTCCTCTATCGAGCAGTTCGCCAACTACACTATGCTCGGATACTTCTACCCTTACACGTTCTCCAACGGTACAACCGAGTCTCTGCACATGGATATTTTCATTGATGGATCGCTCGTGGAGGTTCATGTAAACGACCGCTTCTGGCTGACCACTCGCATCTACCCGTCTCGTACCGATAGCACGGGTTTCAGCATATGGACTGGTGCCAACTCTACTGTCAAGGCTTCGGACATGAAGTTCTGGAACATTGAGACCAACGTCTTCCCTGAAAGGCCAGTGAACTCAAGCAGTGAGCTTGTCTTCGATACACCCGAGGAGACGAACAACTATATTTGGTGGCCTGGAAACTAGATTAGTAATGTCTCAGATGAGTGCAATGCGGTAATGATGAATGATGAAGGCATTGTATTGCACGAAGGATGCTGCTAATGAAGAAGTAACCATCGTATGTAGAACGTAATGTGCAAATCAACCATTGTGAATCCACAAATTCCATGTATTGGTCATCTGAAATCGAAGGAAAATATCCGTCCAGCCGTAGTGCAATCCGCATTCCATTATCGAGGTCGCGTTGCGACCTCAGTAGCCAATAACTTTTGCTGAGCGTGTCCGCGGAACAACATTAGCATCGCTTGCCCCGCCGGCTTCCCCAAACAGCTCACCCCGCACATCGTCCATGTTTGTGGACGGCACGTGTAGCGTCTCCAACAGGCACATGGCTAATCGTCCACCGGATAAAATCGCAATAATGCCGTTAGCAGCAATGCGCCTACCGTCGGTGGCGTTAGACATTGGATGTAGGCGGCGATAGGATATTCGTCGCCATGCATTTAAATCCGGTCTCCTACTTTCAACTTACTACATATAACCTTGACTTTTACGGCGGACTCGGACACCTATTTTGATTTTAGATTTCTAACATCCATCTTGTAAGCATAAGGGGCTCTGAATTGCTGTAAGAACGCGGAACTTGTATCTTATACTATACGACACTATGGCGAACGCGGAGGAACAGTACAAGCTCTCGCAGGAGCAAATCGACTTCTTCCTAGAAAATGGGTGGCTGAAGTTGAGCAACTGCTTCACGAGAGAGCAAGCAGATGGTCTACAAGAAACACTCTGGACCAGGTTGGGAATGGATCCTAATGATATGTCGACATGGTACGGCCATTTACCCTACCTTATGTGGCGCACTTGTGGCGAAAACACTAACATGAAGAGTATAGGCATACTGAGCGAACGAATATGCCTTTCTTTAATGAATTCTCCGTAGAAGAGTTCGCGCCGAAAGCCTGGGCAGGAATCTGCAATCTCGTTGGCGGCAGCGATCGCGTCGATTCCAATGCATCAACGTGGAAAGACGGTTTTATTGTGAATCTTGGAACAAACGAGGGTCATCACAAGGTTGTTCGGCCGCAAGATCTTCCTGGTTGGCACGTGGACGGCGACTTCTTTGTGCATTACCTCGATTCGCCTGAGCAAGCGCTGTTGGTCATTCCGTTGTGGACAGATATTGTCGCTGGCGGCGGTGGAACATATATCTGCCCAGGAGCCATTCCAACGGTGGCGAAGCACCTGTACAAGAATCCTGAGGGAGTCAGCCCAAGGATGACGCCACGAGCGCAGAATCCAGAGTTTGTGCAAGAACAAGGGCTGAAGTGGTTCAACGATCTTGCTGCTAGTATGCCCGATGAAGCTTTCGTCGAAGCTACTGGTGTAGTCGGTGACGTCTACCTTCTACATCCGCTGATGCTGCACTCCGCCTCCAACAACCAGCTTCGAAAGGTCCGCGTCATTACCAACCCGCCAGTATCGGTCAAAGAACCCTTTGTATTTGACCGTGCGGATGGAAATTACAGCGCGGTGGAGCGCAAGACATTGAAGGCGCTAGGCAAGGACAGAATTGAAGGTTTCGAGATCACTGGAAAGAGGCAACAGGTCATTCCTGAGCGTGTAAGGATCCAGGAAGAGATGAAGAGAAAGGAAGAAGAGCGGTTGCGTAAGCTGGAGGAAAGAGCGGGAATTGACGAAGCGAGTCAGAGGGTTGCTACTGCTGCGTGAATTTGTATTCGTTGAGTCAATCTGACATGATTGAAATCAGATGCTTTGTGTTGAGTGCACATGGATTGGCTGGGTTTATAGTGAATATGGTTCTCACGTTCAGTAATCGCAATGTGAGATTTGGATACGGAGGCGGAAGTGTTCCGCAGGTAGATGTTGCGATACCACATTTCTTCTGGACAAGTTTTTGGGTTTTGGTGTAGATATTCGTGAGTGCCCCAGAAACGCATTTGAAAGTTGTTGCCAAGTTAGGAATCGAAGGCCAGACGTTCGGCATGTACCATGGCTGGCGCTCTGGTCGAGGCCCGATTAAAGATATACGAGCCACACCCAAGTGAACGAACACCTGTCCTTGGATGCTGACATTGGCTTGATTCAGATATGGCAAGTGAAGAAGGCCCATAGATTAATAATATGCATCGAAGATCGGCAGGAACACGCAGCTAACTAGAAGCGGGTGAAATACAGGGAACGGCCAGGGCAAGCTGAGCGAGATAGAGAGGCGGTGCGGCGGATTGCTAAGTAAAGGTGGGTACATACCATGCGGCGGGTAAGAGTAACGTGGTCTCAATGTGGTGAAAGTCGGTGCAGGGACCGTGCTAGCGCTAGGCTGGAGCATCCGTGCGCCTACTACGGGTGGAACGTGAAGTTAACACATTGCCAGTTCCAAAGCCGCCACGGCCTCCACTTGGAATAAAAGCCCACCTCACCGCTCTCCTCTACTTCTACCCCATACGCCGTGCAGAGGACCATCAACTCACTCTTCCTCTACCACCCACATTCCACCACAGCAAAATGAAGTACACTACTGTCTGCGCTGCTTTCTTTGCGGCCGTTGCTGCTGCGTCTGACGTCAAGCAACTCAAGACGGACAACTTCAAGAGCTTCATTGAGGAGAACGACCTCGTCCTCGCAGAGTGTAAGTAGTCGCCGCATTAACAAGTCGATTAATAAATTCCCAAACAAGTCCCCAAACTAACAAGTAACCAAGTCTTCGCGCCATGGTGCGGCCACTGCAAGGCGCTTGCTCCCGAGTACGAGACGGCGGCTACCACACTTAAGGAGAAGGACATTGCCCTCGTCAAGGTCGACTGCACAGAGGAGGCAGATCTGTGCCAGGAGTACGGCGTTGAGGGCTACCCCACCCTCAAGGTCTTCCGTGGCCCCGAGAATGTCTCGCCCTACGGTGGACAGCGCAAGGCCGACAGCTTGATCTCCTACATGACCAAGCAGGCTCTCCCCGCCGTCTCCGAAGTCACCAAGGACACACTCGAGGAGTTCAAGACCGCCGACAAGGTCGTCCTCGTCGCCTACTTCGCCGCCGACGACAAGGCCTCCAACGAGACCTTTACCTCGGTCGCCAACGGTCTCCGTGACAACTTCCTCTTCGGTGCCACCAACGACGCTGCTCTGGCCAAGGCTGAGGGTGTCAAGCAGCCCGGTCTCATCCTCTACAAGTCCTTCGACGACGGCAAGGACGTCTTCACCGAGACCTTCGATGCGGACGCTATCCGCGACTTCGCCAAGGTCGCCTCCACACCCCTCATTGGTGAGGTTGGCCCCGAGACCTACGCCGGATACATGGCCGCTGGCATTCCCCTCGCATACATCTTCGCCGAGACTCCCGAGGAACGTGAGGAGTTTGCCAAGGAGCTGAAGCCCCTCGCTCTCAAGCACAAGGGCGAGATCAACTTCGCTACCATCGACGCCAAGTCCTTCGGCCAGCACGCTGGCAACCTTAACCTCAAGGTCGGCACCTGGCCCGCTTTCGCTATCCAGCGCACCGAGAAGAACGAGAAGTTCCCCTACGACCAGGAGGCCAAGATCACCGAGAAGGAGATTGGCAAGTTCGTTGACGACTTCCTCGCTGGCAAGATTGACCCTAGCATCAAGTCTGAGCCCATTCCCGAATCCAATGACGGTCCCGTAACTGTCGTCGTTGCCCATAACTACAAGGATGTCGTCATTGACAACGACAAGGACGTTCTCGTTGAGTTCTACGCCCCCTGGTGCGGTCACTGCAAGGCTCTTGCTCCCAAGTACGAGGAGCTCGGTCAGCTCTACGCTTCCGACGAGCTCTCCAAGTTGGTGACCATTGCCAAGGTTGACGCTACTCTCAACGACGTTCCCGATGAGATCCAAGGTTTCCCTACCATCAAGCTCTTCCCCGCTGGCAAGAAGGATGCCCCAGTCGACTACTCTGGTTCCCGCACTGTCGAGGATCTCGTCCAGTTCATCGAAGAGAACGGCTCACACAAGGCTAGCGCCAGCGTTGGCGAAGCTGTTGAAGGTACGACCGAAAAGCTCGCTGAACAGGCCAAGGCCGCCTCCGAGGTTGCTGCTAAGTCCGCCGCAGATGCTACCGAGTCCGCCAAGGCCAGTGCCTCTTCCGCCACAGACTCTGCTGCCTCAGCTGTATCAGAAGGCACCGAGACGGTCAAGTCTGGTGCGTCTGTCGCTTCCGACTCAGCCTCTTCCGCCGCTTCCGAGGCTACCAAGTCTGTCAAGTCTGCCGCGTCCGAGGTTACCAACTCTGCCTCGTCGGCTGCGTCAGAGGCTTCAGCTTCGGCCTCAAGCGTCAAGGACGAGTTGTAAATGACTCGATGCTTGCGTTCCTTTGCTTGTGTTGACGCTTTCGTGTGTACCATTACCCCTTTCAGCATTTGATAGCTTTTCATACATGCTGAGGTATATGGGTACAAAATAGTTATGATTACATGGGGGCAAATGACACGGTTTTCGTTTTCTCTCCTTTGGGGGACTTGGGTAGCAATTAGCCAATGGAGTTCCGGTTTCATTCTTCATTATGACTTTCAAATTTCCTGACTCATGAATGTTGTGATGATGCTGATATGTGTGACCTTGTCGATATGCATGTACTGGTTTGATATCTTGCATAGTGAAGAATGGCAATGGATTTGGCATCTTACAGAGTTCTGCTCTGTAGCCAACAATTTGTTCATGCTTTGAGAGTGTCGTCACAGGTTAACATATCAGTCGAGAACTGAGTTGAAGTGATGAACCCGTCGCTAGCAAAGCAGCTATATCATGCAAGCCTGTTTTGAAGGCAATTATTTGCTCATTTAATCTGTCCTGTTATACTCCTAACCATGACGGCAGCCTCTCTCTCCCAAGTCACAGCTACACCCTTACTCGATAACGCTCCAGCCAATTGACTGCCGCGACTCACACATTCCCGAACTGAATCACCAACTGCATTTTTATTACTCCTCAGCGTCCTCGCGGACACACCGCCCTTGTTCATGAGCTCCTGAACTTTTGGTGACATGTTGGAAGCGAGGGTTCTCCAAAAGTAGCTGGGTAGAGAGGATGTATCGAGCGCTTGGAGAAGAGGTTGTAGAAAATTGGTAAAGGTTGGGACATGCGAGGAGTCGAGTAGCGGATGCACGGGCGGCTTGATGCTTTCGAGCAGTGATTGTAGCGCTACGATGTTCTGACACCGCGCAGATATCTCGAGTAGTGTGCGGTCCAACGTGGGAAGCTGGCCCAAGGCTCGTGCAAGTGATGCGAGGGACGATTTCAGCTGCGTCTGGAGATATTCTTGCAGCGGATTGAGCATGAGTGTCGGGTCAAATGCCATCTCGGTCGTTGATGTTTTGGTGGGAAGCGGCGACAGGAGGTAGAGAGTGAGCAGTGCAGACGTCGTTCTCGACTTGGTGTCCTCAGTTTGCGCAAAGGTGGATGCCGGAGTCTGGCCTGATGAAGATAGTAGCGAGGACATGGAAAACTCCTTGACTACCTGCTGAGCCCGCGACGAGATGCTGCGCTCGCCTGGGTTGATGAGCTCGGTCTTGAGTGTGTTCACCACGTTGACCCTGTCCAGACCTTCTCCCTCTTCGCCTGGCTTTGAAGCGGCAAATAATTGGCGCAGCGATAGTATCGTGTCTGCCGAGCGCACCATGGCTCTATGGTCCTCCCTCTTTGCGCTGCCAACACCGCCCAGTTCTGACATGCGCACCTCGAGCTGCCTTCCTAGCATGAGACATCGCGCGACTGCTCTCCCCAACTTTACGGTCTCGCAGAGTCTTTCGGCTGTTAGTCGCACCTGCTCAGCGACCTCGTAGCGCTCAATGACCTCCTTCTCCAACGTTTTGTACGACTCGGTCAAACTGGCAACCTGTCCTTCGACCTCGTGCAAGATGTGTCCGCTCGACGCGGCATGTTCTCGCGTATGCTCTAGTAGGGGCAGCGCCGATTTGGTAGTCAGCGTGTCGATGTGTGTGTCGACTTCCTGAACGTCGAAGAGGACGCGCGACAGTGGTGTGGACAGATCTAGCGGCGTGTCCGAGGCGTTGTTGGTCGAGAGGACGAGTGTGTTGGCGAATGACGTCGCTGAGAAGTCTGGATCGAGAAAGGCTTCATAGTCAATGTACGAAGGCTCATCGTCTTTGGACATGGTGCGAGCTTGTTCCAACCATGACGATGCGCAATGCTTGGGTCGCTGCCTCTAAAGTCGCGACAGGGATCATCGGCTTAGCGCTTGTTGGACCTCCGCATCTTCTCCGCGCCATGCATCTCATTCAAGGGAGCTACATGACTGTACCATTGCCTGACTCAACTGTGTCACCCAGTACCAGCCTCGCCACATCTAGGCACCGCTGCTTGAGGCCTCCCCTCTGCGCCTTGCACCACAGCCCCTCACGACTATAACCGTTATGGCTACTCACATCTGCCGATTCTCCATGATGATACACAATCGAGCTTTTGTGAATTGCTTGGACTCATGCAGCGGAACGCCTGAGGCCGGTGAGTGTAAGGGCTAATGGGGGTACAACTGTTGCCTGAACGTCCATGTGGCATGGTCTTTCAGTATATCTACCTGAGCACAGAAGGCGAATTAACCGTCTCATAACTCTTATTGCTCATCACTTGCACTCATTTCTTCACCCTATCTGCATTGAAACGTCTACCATTATGCCTACCAAGAATACCGCGAATGGTGTCGAGAACACAAATGGCACTGCAGGATTTGCCCCAGAAGGCTCCCTCACATCCTTCAAGAACCTCTACCAAGGCCCGCCAGACAAGAACAGGAAGTGGAGCTGGACCGAGAAAGAACCAGAAGACGTTGCGGATCCTGCTGAGAACGAGGAGACTGCCCAGCATGCCCTTATCACCCGGCTTCAGAAGGC